AGACTCTGCCCACAGGAAGTGCATGTGCTAAAAGCGTGCCCGAAATTTCTAGCCATGAAAGTAGACGATCGCGTCAAAGTGGCTAGAAAATACAATTTATGTATGAATTGTTTAGCTCATTCGCACTTGGCAAGAGATTGTAAGAGCACCTTTAGCTGTTTAAATTGCCATCAACGGCATCATTCCCTGCTGCACCGGAATCCAACTGGGAATAACCCATCGACTTCAACTAATCGGCAGGCATCAGGAAATACGGAAGCCAGGCCTGCTCAACCCCCAACCACATCTAGGAACGTGAACGCACTTTTTTCAAGAAACGCGAAAAATGTGATACTAGGTACTGCTATGGTACATATCTGTTACTCAGGAGTGAAATATGAGGCAAGGGCTGTTCTTGATTCGGGAACAGAAGGCACATTCATAACGAAGCGATTGCAACGACGTATCAAACTGCCAACACAGCCTGCTGACATGCAGATAAGCGGTATTAATGCGTCGACATCGTCTAAGGTGCGAGAAGTCGCACAGTTTGTTATAGGGTCTCCTGTCAACCCCCAGATTAGAATTGAGGCAAGAGGCCTGATTCTCCCCCAATTGACAGGAAACCTCCCCCAGTTTACAGTGGACCAAATAGATTTTGGTCTACTGCCCCCAATTAATTTAGCCGATGTCAACTTTAATAAAAGTCAGCAGGTAAACGTGGTAATTGGTGCGGATTTGTACCCGCAAATAATGATAGGAAACATTAAGAAGAACGTTTTAGGTTCCCTTCTGGCACAGGAGACAGTCTTTGGTTGGATCTTAACAGGTCCAATACCTCAAACCCCCAATATGATTAAAAATCATACGTCTCGATGTACACCGAAATCTCGAGCACGGAGCTCACTCGGTTTTGGGAGCTAGAACAAGTCCCAAGTAAAAAACAGATCACTCTTGAGGAAGCAGTCTGCGAGCGCCGGTATGTGAGTACAACAACGAGGACCGGACAAGGAAAATATATGGTGAGACTCCCATTTCGGCATGAGTTCCCAGTCGACATAAATCTTGGATATTCGAGGACCGGTGCAATGCAGCAGTTCTTGAGAAACGAGGCAGCTATGATGCGAAAGCCGGAACTTAAGGCAGAATACCATCGGGTACTCCGAGAATATATAACTCTCGGCCATATGAAACTAGTGGACAGCCCATCTGGAAACAAAGGTCCAGGATCCTAATACTTGCCGCATCATGCAGTGGTAAAACCAGATAGCACTACGACAAAGCTCCGCGTAGTGTTTAATGCATCAAACCCAACATCCAATGGGGTAAGTTTAAATGATGTACTTCATCCTGGTCCAGTTCTTCAAGCGGACCTTATCGCGTTGATATTGAAATGGAGATTTTTCAAATATGTATTCAACGCTGATATTGAAAAGATGTATCGGCAAATCTTGCTGCATCCTAAGGACACTAGGTTTCATAGGATATTATTTAGGGAATTAGTGGAAGAGGAATTAATGGATTATGAGCTACAAACCGTGACTTTCGGAGTCAACTGTGCCCCATACCTAGCGATAAGGACGCTACTCCAGTTGGCAGAAGATATTAGCTTGAAGTACCCTCTAGCATCCAAGGTTTTAAAGCAACATATGTATGTTGATGACGTCCTTGCTGGTGCACACGACTGCGAGACCGCCATTCACACACGGAATGAATTGATCGAGGCTCTCAAAGAGGCAGGATTCCCCTACGGAATTGGACCTCAAACTCCAAAGAAATTTTAGCCGACGTACCAAAGGAGCATCTTCTCAAGGAAGATTTCTTGCAGATTGACGACTTAAGCGAGGCAAGGATGTTGGGTATTAGATGGAATGCCATTCAAGATAGGTTCCATTTCAACAAGAGAGAGAGAGGTATTATCGTGTGTAGCTAAACTGTTCGACCCTGCAGGTTGGCTGAGCCCAATCGTCATCGAGGCGAAAATACTAATGCAAGATATTTGGCTAACGAAGATTGACTGGGATGACAACATACCAAGGGGTATTTACTTGAGATGGGAAAATTTTCTGAAAAATTACGTGAATATTTCGAAAATCGGAATTCCAAGGTGGATTAGGTACACCCCATGGAACGAAGTTGAATTTCATGGTTTTTGTGATGCCTCTGAGAAGGCATATGCTGCTGCGCTGTATGTAAAAGTTCGGGAACGAAATTCAAATATCGTTCCAAATGTAAATCTGCTGGTAAGTAAGACCAAAGTAGCGCCAGTATAAACAACATCTTTACCACCATTAGAGATATGTGGGGCACTACTTTTAGCAGAATTAATCAGCTCTTTACTTCCACAGCTCGATGTTGTTCAACCAGTGGTCTACAAATGGACAGACTCCACCATTGTGCTCTCATGGCTTCAGAAGCCTCCATGATGCTGGACTACTTTCGTGGCGAATAGAGCCGCCAAGATTGAGGAACTTGCCGGATCGAGTAACTGGAATCACGTGAATTCAAAGAACAATCCAGCAGATCTTGGTAGTCGCGGCGTTTCTCCCCAAGAACTCGCGGAGAGCACTCTTTGGTGGCAGGGTTGGCAGGCTGGTTGAAGGAGCAGCCTTCTGAGTGGCCTCAGAGACGGACAGATCCACTGGAAACCGAACTGGAACAAAAAGGAGTTAGAACTCACGCAGCACGAGTTTTAGATAAAGAGGACATCTTGGAACGGTTCTCCGATTTTTCTCGCGCTCTGGTTGCAAGAATTTTTCAATTTTATTGGAAAATACATCCGGTGCACAAACTAACAAATCGGAACGATTCTACGGAACTTACAGCAAAGACAATTCGAGAGGTAAAAACTCGACTTTTCCTGTTGACCCAAAGGCGTTGTTATCCAGAAGAATACGGTGAATTACCATCTTCTAACCCAGTAAGCGTTAAGAGCTCCATCCGTACTCTCAATCCATTTCTGGACAAGAATGGAGTGATGAGTGTAGGTGGAAGACTTGCGCTAGCGTCATTGTCATATAATGAACGATATCCAACCATTTTGCCGTATAATTGCCAATTTTCGCGACTTCTCGTAAAGTTCTCACACTTGATTTCATTACATGGAGGAAATCAACTGATGCTGGGACTTATGAGGTCAGAATATTGGATAGTACGGTTGAAAAATTTAACAAAAACCGAAATTAATAAGTGCAAAGTTTGTATAATTTACAGAAAAAGAACACGGGAACAACTCATGGCTGCGCTCCCACCGGAAAGGACGGACGTATCCAGACCATTCACCAACACTGGCGTGGATTTTACGGGCCGTTTGAGATTAAAAATTACACTGGCCGAGCATGTCTCATCACTAAAGGATACGTTT